GGCATGGATGCTCTGCCAACTAGATGGAGCGATCCAGCGCCGAGCCGATCTCCTCATCCGGGCAGGGTGTCGAAAAGTCGAAGGCCGCCACAGCCGGCGGCAGGGTGCTGGCAAGGATGACAACAGGAGGCGGGGCCTCCTTGCGGTCGGTCAGTGCCATGGACCCCTCGGCCGGGGCCGATGGTGGGGCCAGCCGACGCAAATTGGACTCCTTGCTGGACAGGAAGAGCGACAGGCGAGCCTGCGGATCGGCGACCACCGGAAGGGCCTCCCCAGGAGCAGCCGGCTGGACTCCGGGAAGCCAATCACGCGGGAAGGCGGCCCCGGCGGCCCGAGGGTCGGCAAGGCGCGCGGGCCGCGCATTCCCCTCGACCCCAGGACCCAGCAGCAGGCGCTCGAACAGGAAGGCCGACACGTCGGCGTGTTGGCTGGCCGAGGAGGAAGAGCCGGCGCCCCGGGCCAGCAGGAGCTGGCTGGAGGCCGAGCACGAATCCGCCTTCTGGACTGACACACGGGCACCCGGAGGGACGTCGGGGCCCGCTGCCGGGGCCTTCGGTGTCGAGGAGATTGCCAGGCTGGCCGTCGAGAGGGAGGCCGGGAGCTGCGGCAGCGAGGGGAGCGGCGCAGGGGCTGCCGCCACCGGCGCCAGCGAGGGCAGGCGCGGCAGCGACGGGGCCGCCCCGGTCGCCGTCGAAAAGCCCGCTGGCAGACTCAGCGTCGGTAGGCGCGGCAAGCTCGAGGTGGTGAGAGCGGGAGAACTCGCGGACGAGCTGGCCAGCGAGCTGGCCGATGCACTTCCCTGTAGACTGGGCAAAGTCGGCAGGGTGAGGCCGGCAAGCTGCCCGGCCGGCCGAGGGGCGCTGCCCATCGGCAGGGCCGTCGGCCGGGTCGTCGGCAGGGCGAGGCCGGCCAGCCGCGGAGCCGAGGAGGAGGGCTCGGCCGCCGGGGGCGTCGCCGCCACAGCGGGCGCAGCCACACTGCTGGGTAAGCTGGGCAGGCCGGGCAGGCTGGGCATCTGCAACGTCGGGAGACGGGGCAGGGCATTGGCGCTGTTGCTGGCACTGTTCGGGGGGCTACCCGAGCTGCGTGGGGGACCGTGCGTGGCCGTGTGTGTGCGGGGGCGCGCGGGCGCGCGCGCGGGCGCAAAGGGTCGAGGGTGCGTTCGTGTGGTCGGGCGTGCGGGCGTTCATGCGGGCGGAGGGGAGGGGGGGGGGAGGGGGAGGAGAAGGGGAGATGGGCAATTAGAGCGGGAGGGACATACTCGTCTCGGTGGAGGCGCTGGACAGGGAAGAGGACTGCTTGGCAGAGGCGGGGGTGGCCTGGCCGGCCTTCTTGTTGGACTTGGCCGGCGCGACACTCACGCTGTAGTCATCCGGGTCGTCATAGTCATCGCCATAGTAGTCATCCTCATCGGAGTAGTAGTCCTGGTCATAGCCATAGCCATCCCCGCCCTGACCAGAGTAGTAGTAGTGCTCGCCAGCGGCTTCTTCATCTTCGTCATATTCATAGTATTGGTCCTGGTACTGATCGTCATTGTCGGGAACGTACGCCATGGCTGCGACTCGGGGGGAGTGGAGGGGGGGGGGGAGAGAGAGAGAGAGACGCAGAAGAGGAGGAAAGAAAAAGGAAAGGGGGAGATTCCACAGAGACACGAGTGTCAGGAGGAAGGAACAGAGGAGGAGAGTGTGATGTGCTTCCTCGACCGCCTGCCGGTTCGAGGCCCCACAGGCCGGGGCCGGAAGAAGGTCTCCCCCCCGGGAGGTGGGGCGGCAGATTCGGCCGGAGCCAGGGCTGGTCGGCGGGTGGGCGGGCGGGGCGGGCGGGGGGCCCAACACAGGGCCCAACGAATGATGCAATCACTCATGTGAGCCGGCGTCACATGCCCTGGCAATGCTATTTGACATCACACATGACGATCTCGTGACTGTCGCCAAGAGCCATCGGTCGCCCCCCGAGCCTGGCGTCGGTCCCTGCCCTCCATGCGTGTGGTGTGCATGCGAGTATGTGTGCTGCGTGCGTGTGCTGCGCGCCCCGGCGGGAGCGTGTGTGTGTGTGTGTGTGTGCGCGCGCGCGCGCGCGCGGAAGGGGCGCGTGTAACGTGGGAGAGGGCGACTTGCCTTTGCTTGGATAGATGCCCCCCCCCCCCCCCCC